TATATAAAGAGACAACGTATTTTTCGTTTGTGACCACTAACCGTGAAAACTACTGAACCAATCGTTACCAAATTTTAACTGTAGCATCTTTATGATCCCCAGAATGTTTACCACTAATGAAACCTGCAGATGTTTTATCTATACTAATAAAAATTAAAACATATCATCTAGGGTTAAAGCTTTTATGTCCAACAGATGGCGCTACGAGTACAACGCCCTAAGTTTGCTTTTCTGTGAGGATCTATATCTATATCTATATCTATACTACTATATAAAGAGACAACGTATTTTTCGTTTGTGACCACTAACCGTGAAAACTACTGAACCAATCGTTACCAAATTTTAACTGTAGCATCTTTATGATCCCCAGAATGTTTACCACTAATGAAACCTGCAGATGTTTTATCTATACTAATAAAAATTAAAACATATCATCTAGGGTTAAAGCTTTTATGTCCAACAGATGGCGCTACGAGTACAACGCCCTAAGTTTGCTTTTCTGTGAGGATCTATATCTATATCTATATCTATACTACTATATAAAGAGACAACGTATTTTTCGTTTGTGACCACTAACCGTGAAAACTACTGAACCAATCGTTACCAAATTTTAACTGTAGCATCTTTATGATCCCCAGAATGTTTACCACTAATGAAACCTGCAGATGTTTTATCTATACTAATAAAAATTAAAACATATCATCTAGGGTTAAAGCTTTTATGTCCAACAGATGGCGCTACGAGTACAACGCCCTAAGTTTGCTTTTCTGTGAGGATCTATATCTATATCTATATCTATACTACTATATAAAGAGACAACGTATTTTTCGTTTGTGACCACTAACCGTGAAAACTACTGAACCAATCGTTACCAAATTTTAACTGTAGCATCTTTATGATCCCCAGAATGTTTACCACTAATCAAACCTACAGATGTTTTATCTATACTGATATAAATTAAAAGATATCATCTAGGGTTAAGGCTATGTTTGCTTTTCTGTGAGGATAAAGTAAAGCACATCATCTTCTATCTATCTATATAAATAAAAATGTAATGTTCGTTTGTACCTATCGATCCCTTTGAAATCCCCCCCCGGGGAGATGGACAGGATTAAGGCTTACCGTAAAGAACTCTGCTTCTATTTATACTATTTTAGATGCGGTTTTTTGCGTTTTTGATTGCGTTTTAATAGGGTATGTCAACAGAATATACACTAAAAAGGGATTTTTCAATATCCCCCCCGTGGGGGAGAGGGACAGGATTAAGGCTTACCTTGAAGAACTTGGCTTCTATTATACTATTTTAGATGCGGGTTTTTGCATTTTGATTGCGTTTTAATAGGGTACGCCAAGAGAATGTACACTAAGAAAATATTTTTCGAAAAATTTCCCCTCACACGGGGGAAGTGTTATACATTTATAATAGATACATTTTGAGCCACAACAACACGTGGCGGGGTCTGCTAGTTCATAATAAAGTGTATTATGAAACCTTGAGGCCTGAATAATTCATTTAGTAATACATTTATAAGTATGTTCAAGAAATTTTAAAACTTTTTAATAATGACAATAGTTTTAACAGTTAACTTTTAAAATTAACATCAGAATTAATTACCTCAGGTTATGTTAAAAATTGTGGGCTTGGCCATTTTTACCCATTTTTAAATATTATTCAAATTTTTAAGAGAGTTTTAATTATTCAGTAATGAAAACTGTATAAATTTTCTAAAATGCCACTTGTTAATGTGCTATTCTTCATTTAAAAATTATATTTTTATTATATTTCAATAGGTATTCCTGTAACTGAACCTAAAAGTCCACCAGAAATATATTTTTTTGATGTAGTGAGGCAGTGTAATGCTATTTGTCATTTATTAGAAAAACAGTTTGCAGATACATTAGTTCCTCTTGTTGTGTAAGTTTTGTTAATCTGTTAAATTACTACATATATTAAAAAATTTTATCATTTTTTTCTTTGTTTCATTGTGGATTTAGAGATTGAAATATGTAAGCATTGCAAATTAAATTTTTAAGAATGATGATGAAACATTCTTGTGTGAGACAAGATGATTATTTTCTATAGAATTTTTGGAATTTGTAAAATCAAAAATGTTTGCTTACATTAGAAAATTACTTAGTTTCTTTAATTTTTTTAAAAAAATGTATTTGAAGCTATCCAATTAGTATATTTATTATTTTTTAGACATTTTAGCNGCCACTTGTTAATGTGCTATTCTTCATTTAAAAATTATATTTTTATTATATTTCAATAGGTATTCCTGTAACTGAACCTAAAAGTCCACCAGAAATATATTTTTTTGATGTAGTGAGGCAGTGTAATGCTATTTGTCATTTATTAGAAAAACAGTTTGCAGATACATTAGTTCCTCTTGTTGTGTAAGTTTTGTTAATCTGTTAAATTACTACATATATTAAAAAATTTTATCATTTTTTTCTTTGTTTCATTGTGGATTTAGAGATTGAAATATGTAAGCATTGCAAATTAAATTTTTAAGAATGATGATGAAACATTCTTGTGTGAGACAAGATGATTATTTTCTATAGAATTTTTGGAATTTGTAAAATCAAAAATGTTTGCTTACATTAGAAAATTACTTAGTTTCTTTAATTTTTTTAAAAAAATGTATTTGAAGCTATCCAATTAGTATATTTATTATTTTTTAGACATTTTAGCCTGATTTGTGTATTTTATCATGTGCATTTTATTTTAGATCAACTCCAAAACATGGGTATTGTTTACAAAGGAAAAAAGCACTTTCAGAACAAATGGAATTAAAATTGCATAATGGATTAGAACGGTAATTTTGATTAACTTATACTACTATATTACTTTGTAAGAAATTAAAAATATGATTTTTCTTTATAAAGGTCGATTTCAGCTATTATTGGTTGGGTAAAGTTTCTACTACAATCTGAACAACGAAAAACAGATTTTAAACCAGAAACTGAAGACTTAGTACTTGCAGTGGCCACACCTGTGAGTTCCTAGAAAAATTTATAGTTTAAATCATATATTGAATATATTATTATTATACTTTGGAAGTTGAGGTGCAAATTTTGTTTTTTAAAAAAAAAGGATTGAAAAGTGGATTTTTGTAAAAAACCAGTGTTAAAAAGTGCTCCAAAAAACATAAAAGTAAAACTATCGTTTTGTTGTGCATAAAAATATACATAGAACACAAAATTCAAGAAAATGATAGAAAATCTGAATTAGTCATTTTTGGAATCTGATCCATTAGTTTCATAGTTTACAAGCAGCAAAGCATTGTACTTGAAAACACAATCATTTTACATTCTCCACAGTCAGCTGCAGAAGGCATAAGGAAAGTAAATCTTTGAACTGTAAAAATGATCTCAACATCAACAGATGGAAGAGGAGCATATTTAGTTTTCAATGAAAACTTTAGGTTTTGTGACACGAGATTTGGGAATTATATTTTGAATATCCAGATTTTACTCTGGGATTATTCCAGTTTCTTTAAAGCAAATCCATCCAACTGGTTTTAGGCATGTTTAAAAGTTTTTCACTGCTTCTCTGTAGATAGACTGCTTTACATGAGTTTAGAAACTGAACTGCACAGGAACTTGTAGGAATGAACATTGTAATGTTCCTTTAACATGGCTTCTTGTTTCAACAGACTGTGGGGTTTGGGGGCTGTAAAGATTTATTACGCACTTTTTTGGGTAGAGTCCTGCCACCAGGTGTGTTTTATCAGACACACCGCCGTTTGAGATGAAATGGATGATTAAGGCGCGAGGGTAAGAGTCACTCCGAAGTCCAGGAATGAGCCTCTCAGGAGGAAGAATGCAGAGTCAGATATAACCAATTTAAGGACATTTTAACATAAACAAAAGTTTAGAACAGAATTATAAAACCCGATTTTGGAAATTTGCCTATTTTTGTCTATACAACGAGGGGAGTGCCAACTTCGAACTTACGCGTAAGTATTCAAACTTACGCGACTCACAACATTCCAGGTAAACAAGATGTTTTCTCTTGTGAGGTGGACCTGATGGCCAAGACTGTGGAGGTTTCTGGTGTTCGCTGTACTTCGTCTTGTGCTTGCTCGTTTTTGAGTCGTCCTCTCTTGAACCACTCTTTCTCTGGTGCTCGTCTGGTTTCACTCTCTGGATCTCTGTCTGTCTGATTGTCACTGCAACTCCAACTCATTCTGCAACAACTCTTTCTGTGACAGCATCTGCAACTCAACTACCTTTCTCTGGCTGGAGCTGTGTCCCCAACTGCTGACTATCTCACTGTCTCTTTCTAACTGCCTTTCTCTGACTGGAGCTCTCCTTTTAAACACTTCCAGCATGATAAAGTTCATCATCGGGTGATGATTTATTGGCAGTGTCATCATTGTAGCTGAGGCAGTGTTTTCTTATTTGGTGATGACGTCGAGCTTTGTAGAGTCATCTCTGAGTTGGTGTTTTCTTATCTCTGAGTTGACATGACTCATCTTTGCTCTTAGTCATTGTTCATTGATTGCTTTGACAGTTCTTCATTTAATATGTAAACATTGCCAAAAACAAGGGGGATGCAATGTTCCCCATTTCTATATGTATCTTTTATAATTTTTGATTATTTAATTGCTCCTTCCTCTTTTCTTTAGCATGTTGTGAGATTTCTGATAGTTGGATAATAAACCGTTTTATTCTAATTAATTTAAGTTAATATTAAAATTTGGAAAGAGAGAGTCCCTAGATTGGTAAAATAGGTGAATTTCCTCCTATAACTTCGGTTGTTATTCAAGATACAGTTAAGGTTTACGCAAATACATAATTAAAAAAGATATAAAGTAAATAAACAAAAATTATTACAAATAAGTTTACAAATATATATATATATATATATATATATAGATCTATATATATTTTTGGAGGGGGAGTGGTGGTCTTCACAAGACTCTTGAGTTTTATTTAGGCTACTGAAGACTTTTTGTTCCATTTATTAATAAATGCTTTTATGGATGAGAAATTTTTAGCATAAAAACAATCTACTTGAATCCATAGTTCCCAACTGGTTATTACAAGGGGTTTTGGGAGTGGCAAGCCAGTCATCTCTCCATGTGGATGTATGTTCTCAGGATATTTAATCAAAGCTTTTTTCATTTTCAAAATGAAATTGTTGGCCCAAGAAAATTCTGCCCTAATCACTTCAAATACTCTGTTAAGGCAATGAGTAAGACAATTCACATATCTCAGATTTGGATTCATTAGCTGAGATGTATAAGTTGTATTGGTTCCAGTCTTAATGGACTGTTGAGAATGTTTAGCACTTATCTTAGTACATTCATTGTTTCATCAAATAATAAACCAGCAATGAGTTGCTCAACTTTCTTGGTAACATTTAAAATTTTGGTGGTTCCATTTGTTATCATATTTTATTAAAAAAAAGTTTTATATTTTTAACTATTATAAATTGGCAAAAAGCTTAATTTTGAGGGTAGGGATGCGTTTTATAAAAAATTGTAAATACTAATAACAAGTAAAATAGTCATATTATGTATGACCTTACTGGAGATACACATGACCCCATTATCTCCCCATCCCCTGACCTTTAACCACCAAAATTTAATATCATTAATTTCTCTAATCAAATTTCCCTGCAAAATTTCAGAAATTTTCGACAAAAAGCACAGGAGTTAAGCTTCAAAGAGGGTAAACAAAATTGTGCCCCCCCACACTCTCACATTCACACTAACATCCATCTGTACCTATGGAAATTACACCTGAAGTTTTTTGCATTTCTTGATGTTTCAAAGTATCCTGAGCCCAAAAATGTAAAAATCTGGGGAGGTCATTTTTTGCTGGATTGCCATACTTTTTATCTGTTATAACAGCTGAGAAAGTAAAAAAGAAGAAATAAATTGTTTCCTACTATTACCTGTATTTTTTTAAAGTTGCTTCATAGCTTTTAATTATTATGCTTTTGTCAGGGATTGAGTGCTTGGTATACTTTTTTAGAAAGTTTTTGAACGCTGGGTGATTTACTTTGTTAAGAGCAATCCTTTACCATACTAAAGTTATAGCAAGTTTATATAAAAATTCATTCTTCTTGCTTGCATTGTTTCTTTGCAGAATTTAATGATGCCAAATAAAACTCCTTTTCATTTTTTTTTCTTTTCCTGTTGGAACTTTGTTTTGTATATTTAATATGGTTGCTTAAGCTGTGAAGAGAGATGCTTTTTATCCAAATTTATGGTAACATTACACAATTTACATCTCAAATTACTATTGTCAGTTATAATTCCTTTCTTTTCTTCATAAAATTCTACATCAATAACTACTACATCAAATTACAGTACTCAATACAGTAATATTAAAAAAAGCTATTTTATTATATTTCCTAAAAACCCTACAAACTTTATTAATTCAAGATGTAAAAATCTAAGAAAAAACATTGACTAACATTTGGGCCAATATAGTACATAAAAAATATAAATGTGCAACACTTACAATATGATAAAAAAAAAAGGCACTAAACTTCATTGAAAAGTAGATACCAAATGGAAACTGTCTATTTAAAGTCACTATTAGTCAACTGATTTTTTAACTAATCACATACGGCAAGGAAGGATTAATTTTTGAAATTCAAATTTAAAATTGTTCACAGTTGAAATTTGTTATCCAATTGAAAATACAGTATCAATTTCCAAATGTTAAATGAGTGAAAATTCAAGATAAGTTAGAAATTAACTGTTGATATTAGAATCAAAATTAAAGTTTAAATTACAAATGAAATTCATTGACATTTTCTAATAATTTTCATTAATAACAGATTTATAAATAGAAATAGAAAAATAAACAAAATACCCAATTTAGTGCAAAAAAGGGGAAAAGTGCTCAGTGGTAAAAAGAGGGAATTAATGCTTCTTCCAAATGAGTGTAAACTTAATAAAGTTTATTAATCCTGTGAACTTTGAAATAGTCCCCTGTGCAAATAACAAAAAGGATAGTACCTCAACTTCCTAACTATAATTAACATCATTAATGGTTAATATTAAAATTATATTAATATCAAATGAGTCTTAATTTCTTATATAGAAAAATAAAAAAAAGAAAATGATCAAATGCTACAAATATTTTATAAAAATTTAATAAAATAACTTATAAATGACTGAAACTTGATTAAATTACATCAAGAACATTCCAAATGAAATTGGTTGTGCTTTCTTTAAAAATAGACTAAGAATAATAGTCTAAAGCAGCCTTACTCAACTGGCTGTCTGTGGTTTTAGATTGCTAGCCAATTGCAAGTTTCCAAATTTGTCCTGCTTTTCATTTGGATTTCTCTCACAAATTCATGTGAGAGAAAGCCAAATGAAAAACAGGACAAATTTATATTTGATATTATTTAATATCAAATACAAATACAGGAGCGATACAAGAACAATGTCATTTGGAACAATGCATCCAAATTATGACATTATATACACCGAATTTCACAGTAATAGTTGAAGAAAGTGCAATTTCTCTCATTAATGATAAAGAATAGTTTGACTTAATAAATAAATAGCACAGTATATTATGTCCTTACTCTGTATATTTGTGTACAGACAGTAGCACAATCAATGACTCTCCGTCTTTCTCCATCAGTTTGATAATTGAGAGCATATGTTCAGATCCTGCTACAAATTAATTGAGTAGAAGGATCTGAACATATGCTCTCAATTATGAATGAACAAATGCTACAAATTAATTGAGTAGTGCTGGTCTAAAGAAATTGTTTTTAAGAAATTTATAAATACTTGAGAATGCTCTAAATTATAAGATTTTTGAAAATCATATTTAGAATTAAAACATCATATTTTGTTTTACTTTGTTTCTTAATAGAAGTTATAAATTCTGTAAATAAAAAGTAGAAAGAGAGAAAACAATAAGAATAATATCTAAATTATGATACAAGTATCGTATATAATCTGATGTATTCTATTACTTATGTTTAAAAAAGAATCAAAATATTTAACATTGCTGGCTGGCTGAGCGATTAAGTTATCAGCCTACCACTATGAGGACCTGGAACTGAATCTGGTCAGGTTGAAAATTCTAGAAAATTTCCAGGGAGTGGTGTGTCCTGGATATGTTGGATCCTGTCCCTCACCACTCGACGGACTTGATATGGATCAATGAATCAACATTAGTGGCACTCATTAGAAACATTAGAAACACTCCATTAGTTATGTTGTATAATTTTTAACATAACTTATTTTGTCAATGAGTATAAAATATGGTCAGGTCCATGGTCAGCTTGACCAAACCCATGATGGGCTTGATAAAAAGGCCTTTTAGTGCCCATAGGGCAGAAAGAGTAAAAAAAAAAATAACATTTATTTATTGAAAATATTTATAATTTTGATTTTAGTATGAAATTTAAGGAAATCTTATATAGTGTTGCATAGCATAATCTCAGCTTTCAAATTTTAATAATTTATAAATTTACTATCCAGTTTTGATGGCACTTCCCATTTGTGTTTTCTAGCTCAATAATTTTTTACTTATGCTTCTGTGTATATGATATTCCTGATGATACATAAGAAGTGCTGTCTCCTCAGTAAGAGCTATGTTTGCAAGCATTTCTGATGTAACAGTAGCCATTGTCTTTAATTTTTCTCTTCAAGTCATGGATGTCTATAGGCCCATTGCCATATTCAAAGCCCTTTAGATGCCCTACAGAAAGAAATTTGATAGTTTCAGATCTGGAGAGTTTGATGGACATGCTATGGAACCACCAAGTTCTCCAAACCAGTCGTCATTAAACGTCTGAGCAAGGAAATCACAAATGATGAACTCCATTCTATTGGAAAATTACATTCTCTTCCTGCAACTGAGGCAACACAATTCTGTAGCATGTCTAATATGATTCCCATTGTCCTGTTACTTTAGCAAAAGTTCGAGCGAATACATAATTAGCAAAAAATAGTTGAAATAAATGTGTTTACAGATGAGGCAACTTCCCATGTAACTAGAAAAGTTAACACCAATAACAATATCGTCTGGGATGCCAAGAATCTCCACACTATACATTATCTTTTGGGCTGGCAGTCCAAAAGACAATGTATGGTGTGGAGATTCTTGGCATCCCAGACGATATTGTTACTGGTGTTAACTTTTCTAGTTACATGGGAAGTTGCCTCATCTGTAAACAACCACCAGTGTACAAAGGGTTGTTTTCTAGACAATTTACAATTACTGTATATGACAAAATTCTTGATGCACAATGTAAAAAACTTTATGCAGAGTTGTGCTTGTTGAATATAATATGGATATGGGGAGGTATTTTCTCACAATCCTTTGATGTGTCAAATGGAAGATACCAGTACTTAGAGATAATCTGTGCATGGTTTTACCAAGGCTTTGTTGCATCACCTCACTGAAAAACTTTTTCCTCAGGTAATGGTTTCTTTCCATTGCTATTCTTTAAAATGTTGATACTAAGAATGAGTGCTCTTATTGCTGGATGAACTTTTGATCCATAAAAATGATTAAATTATTGTTATACTGCTATGATGTTTCCAAACTTTACATGCCAAATTACATATTTTGCTTTTTGCTGTATGGATTCTGCCATTCTTTATCAAAACAACAATCAATAATGGACCATTACTGTTATCCTTGTATAGGTAAGAAAAGTATTGAGTTGGAGAATGTGGATGTAAAACATTGTCAAAATCAGATAAGTTTAGTTAGTATGATTTGAAACTGGAGAGAATTCTATAGGACACTAGTTTTTTAAATACCTGTAGTTCATATTGGGAAGAATATAATCAAATTTTTTGTAGAGATATTCAGAGAGAATTATAAGTATCAATATATGCATATTTTGAACTTTTTGTACAGTAAAACATGGAGTTTTTTTGTTTTAATAATTTAAATATTAAAATTAGATATTTAATAAGTATAAGAGAAAATTGTTTAAAGAATTAATTAGTTTCAATTAGTAACACAATAATTTTATTGCATACATTTATAATGCATAAAATGTCATGAAAATTAATTAGAAAATATTATTTGAAATTAGTTCAAAATTGAAATAACAAATGCATCAGTTATGATTTCATAAGATATTTCGAGTATCATAATTCACATGGAGTGTGATAATCAATGAATTGAAGTAATAATTAAATTTTCAGTATTAAAACTTTTATAATCATTAGTGCAATATTTATATTTACAAAATATTTTATTCATTACAGAAACAATAATTTAAAAACGAAATAAAAATGTAATTTTAATAATAAACTGAACTTAAAAATTTAAATTTTAAAGAAATATATACATTTTTTGTGATATTTTGAAATTACACCAAGCCCTCAATGTCATTTTGTTATAACATCATCAAGGAAAGATACAAATACATTTATAGTCATTTACAATTATTATTGTTGAATTTTTTTATAAACAGTAAAATTGATCCTAAGAGGTGGAAAATAAATGCTGGAGGTTACAAGCATGATTCAATTAGAATAATAATAACTGAATTATATCTTGTTTACATCAGTTAGCCTAAGGTGAAATTGGTTTTGTTATACATCATTTCACTTAACGTCACAGTTTCCAAGAACCTATCAATGATGATAAGTGAGGACTTGCTATAATTTATCATACTTATTTAAAATATTATGCAACTAATAAAATGATAACCGTTTCTGAAATATTATGGTTATAATGAATTATACATAAAGATTACTTATTTTTATTTGAAAATTCTTAGTTTGTGCTTATTAAATTTTAAAAATTTGTTTTCTAAATAACATGTTTTAAAACTTTAATACACAATTAAAATGTCTGGTAGTTGTTATTATTTCAAAGGAAATTTTTCCTTATTTAAGATACAAAAATAGAAGTATTTTAGTATTGAGGAAAAACTAATCAAAACATGTTATGATCATTTTATTATTGAAATTATTTTTATAGAAAATAATTAAAAATAAATTAAAACATCTGAAATATTTACTTCTAATGAAATTAAATATATATTTATTATTATTATTTTTAAATATCTTTCATAAATTACAGGCATGTGTAAAAGTGGTCAAATTTATCAATCAAAATGTTGAAAAAATAAGAGATTCTTTGGATGGTAAAAATGTGGAGGCATTATTAACTGAGTTAGGTACAAGGTTTCATAGAGTTATATATGAACACCTTCAGCAGTTTCAGTACAGTTCTGTTGGTAAGAAATATTAGTTTCTTATTTAATATTATTTTATGGACATAAAAATCCACTTTACACAAATATTTCTAGGTGCAATGGTTGTTATCTGTGATGTCAATGAATACAGGAAATGTGCCAAGGAATTCCGTGTGCCTTTGTTGAACTCTTTATTTGATACCTTGTATGCTCTATGTAATTTATTAATTGTGGTTCCGGATTATTTGAAGCAAGTATGCACAGGAGATCAATTGGTAAATATGAGAAAAATTAATATAAAAACTTATACACTCTTATATGATGATTTTCAATTATGTTTCCTTATTTCAGGTGGGCCTCGATCGTGCAGTTTTGTTAAGTTTTGTTCAGTTGCGTGCTGATTATAAGACAGCCAAGTTGGTAAATCAATTCAAATGACCATCAAATGGATTTGATGAATATATACATATTTAAGTCCATTATCATTTTCCACATTTGGAACAAGTATTCCATGTATCTATAGAAAATTTCTATTTATGAATGTTTGCCATGCTGTAAGAAAGAATAAACCCTTGGGGTTTTGATAATAAAAATTGTAAATGTTCTTACAAAATATTTTTGTAATTAGTATATCATTATAGAAGGATTAGATTAATTTTAATAATAATGTGATTATGTTGTATAAAATCTTCCTTCAATTTATTCAAAATTGAAATTAGTCATCACAAAAATTATTTGTCAATAGAAAATTAATAAACTAAATTTTAATTAATAATTCTTAAATTTAAGGTTAATTAAAAATAACAATACTTAGTTATTTATAAATATGCTTCAAAGAACAGCTATTTTAGAGTTGCCACTATTTATTACAAGGTGTAAATACAACATGGACAATTGTACAGAAGAGTTGTAAATTAGATTATACATTCATAGTTAAAGAATTGAATTATGAAATTGTTTTTTGAAATTATATTTCAAGACGAACATTCACCTTTTCAATTAATTAATGAATATAATTAAAATTATTTTTTGTACGTTACGTATAAGAAAAAGCATTATACAAGGCACTGATCTAAATTTTATGTATATATTAAGAAAAAAAATTATTAATTAAATTTGTTTATTAAATTTATACATTAAATTAATTTTCTCCTAATTACATAAATTTTATACAATTATTTATTAAATATATATTTTAAATTTTATGTAATAAAAAATAATAATAATTAGAAAAATACTCCTCTTAAAATTACATAATACTAAAAAGTATTTAAAATCAATTTTAAATAGTAATGCAGTTTTAAAAATTTATACATTATTAAATTAGAAAATTCTAAAATATAAATAGAAAAATACAAAAAATTGATTTCTCTTTCTAAATCTTGATTAATGGATGTATGTTATTAAACTCAATAATATATATTATTATTATTATTTATAACAAAATATTTATTGATACCATTCATGACAATGTTTCAAAATTTAATGAAGAAATTTTTATTCATTTTTGTACAAAATATTTAAAAAGAATTAATTAAAAACTAATAATAAATAAATAATTTTATGGAATAAGGAAAGACAAAAATGTTATAAACATTTACATCATAAATTTAAAATATCTTCATTTCAATTCATTAATTCTATCTTTTTATTGGAAAATAAAATAACGAACAACTTAGAATTATTATTATTATTTTTTTGTAAATATTAATCCATCCATTACATAATAACTCATTCAATTATGTTTACTCCAGATTTATTCGGTTGGCCGGGAAAGAACGTATAAAACTACAAGTATCAGGTTCACTGCACCTCTCTTACTGGCAGTTAACAATTGGAAACTAAAAATAAAACTGGTCACCATCGCATTGATAACAAAACAGATCAATAAAAGTATATAGAGTTGACATATGTAACAACAGCATAATAATTTAATTAGGTCAGATCAGAAGTAACGGAGTTTAGTAAACACGTAGACTCGACATTTGAATGTTTAAAAGGATAGAAGCAGAAAGAGGAAAATCGGTGTTTTCTGTTAAATATAATTGTGTCAATCACGAAGTGGTTCGTAGCCATTGGTAACGTTACCGAGAAAACGCTTGTTATTTACAATATTTGACATTGCGACAGTTCCTTATTGGTGTATGGTGGTAGAAGAGCGAAAAGTGCTGGTTTTTATTTTTTTATTCCTTTTCCTACAGCCGTTTGTAGCTGCGTTATTGGCACCATGCCAACTGAGCAGAACAGAAATTCGCCGTCAAAGAAACTTCTCGACCAAAACATTGAATAAAATCGTACATTTATTAAACGTTTTAAGAAATAAAGGAAGAAGAGTTTAAATAAAAAATCGAAAATAAAAACGTATCGAGGAAAAGAAAACAATAATAAAACCGAGATATATAAATTCTAAACATGGTATTAAGTGGCGCCATCTTTAATATTTACAAAGACTATTTAAATCGTTAAGTTAACTTTAATTGTAATTTTATTATCAAAAACGCGTTAAGAGTTTTAATATAACGAAAATAGCGAAGAAATAGTATAATAAAATGTCATTTTATAAAGGTCGTCGTCAAGGACGTGCGGACACAGCCGGGAATCGGCACGTGCCGACAAAATCCAACCAATGACGAGTCGGAAACGCCGTCACGTGACTGGCGACCAATAAGAGTGTGTTATACGCTTGTAGTATCCAGGCCCATCAGTTGACAAGTTTGTGTTATTTTTCGCGAGGTTTTTATTAATTTAAAGATTTTTAATATTTAATCGAAAGTTAATATTGACACGAATCGCGGTTTTATCGGTAAGATTGTCGGCGACAACAGTCAGGTGTGAAAATGGTAAGTTGATTGTATGATTTCTTTCTGGATCTTCGGTTTCCGACATGATTGCGGAATTTAACAAGATACACTTTTAACTTACCATTTGTATTTATAAGCATTTCTCCTTCCGATATCTCATTATTTGCCCATATCCAAACGGTTTTGACAATCTGCTATGTTTTCCGTCCACTTATTAAACATTTGCTTCGTTCTCAATGTATAATCAATTACAGATCTGGCCAGAAAAGAATTTGTTTTCCTCAATTTTTCTGCTCTTGATAATTACACCATCGTTCACTAATTTGGATCTTCGTTAACATAAATAATCCATTTCAAACACGTGATAAACAATCACGCTTGTAATTGATTAATTTCTTTTCCCATAATCTTATGAGTTTTGAATATTTTATTACATTATATTTTTCTGTTTTCAATATATATATATATAAAACTTTAAAAAAATTCAAAATATAAATGATTTTTTTACACCGTATTTTATATAATTTTCTTCCCTTTAATCAAGAATTGCCATTTTTATTTATAGTACCAATCTCAATGCTAAGCAAAGCAAGCCAGCTGTTTTTAAACTGTTAACTTTTTAGGAATTGTAATCAAGATTGATAATGATCATAAAACAAAATTATACATTTAACATAATTTATGTATTAAATACTTCTTACAGTTTTACTTGCTCTGATAACAAGTACTGTACCTAGTTTCTCATTTCTAAACGATAATTAGTTTCAGATAATTAACTTATTAATAGGTATATTCTTTTATTTAAAAAAAAAGATACATGATCGGTTATAAAAGTATTTAAGTACAGTTTATGTAATGTTAGATATGGGGAATAATAAATGAAACTATAAAAAATAATGTGTGATGTAATATAACAATCGTGTATGTTTGTTTATATTAATTTTAGTATCAAGCTACTAGAACAGTTAAATTCTGTTTACAGTATGATTAACTAGATTTCGGTGCAATATGTAAAATCAAATAATGCATACAATTGCAGAATTACAATTATTGTGTAACAATAGCAAATGTTCTAGAAATTAAAATTATATTAGAAAATCAAAAATTATCAAGAATATTCATGCATAAAGAGAAGAATTTTAGGATAATGAAAAGTAATGAAAGAATTTTTATTTGCCAGTTTTATAACAAAATTAACACTGTAACAATCTTAAATTTTTTATAAGCATTTGAAAATTTGCACATCATAAAAAAAAAATACTTGTGTCAAATTGATCATATATGATTGATTTCATATGGTGTGTTCAAACAGCAATTATGATTTTTCTAATTAAGTTTTTACAATAGGACTTTTTCCTTGAAAATAAACACTTTAAAGGTTCTCACAATATAAATATTTTCGTAATTGAGTTTGTTTATAATTAATTGTGATGTTAAAATGATGTCACAAATACACAAAAAATGAGCATTGATCACAGTACAAAAATGCCTTTTTTTTAATAAAAATTAGTCAATATGAGGGAGGACCAAAAAAAACTGGAATTCTCTTTTGTATGGTAGGCTCCTAGTACAAGCTTCTCATGCTAGGTAAATGTTCAATGAATCCATCTACATCAGTTTACCAGATGGCATTGTTGTGAGAGGTTGTGCTTTGCAACAGTGAACTTTTTTTAGATTTTTTCAGTGTGTTTTCTATCTGTTTCTTTGATGTGAGAAGGATTATGCATTTAGAATTTGTTCCTCCAAGTCAAATGATCAACCAGTGTTTTTATCAAGAAGTTTTGAGAAGGTTGCATCAAGATTTGCAGAACAATCTGGAGTTATGGCAAACAGCTGACTGGGTTTTCCGTTATGACAACAATTCTGCCCATACTGTTTTTGGCCAAAACTGGTCAAACATTCAGAGCAGTATGTTCTTCACCCTTCCTGTTCATCCAATCTTGTCCCATGTGACATTTTTTTTTGTTTTCACAGATGAAAAAGTCCTCAAAGGAAAAAAAAAAGATTTTCCAATATGGATGAGGTGAAACAAAAAAAATGGCAGAAACTAAAAGGCATCAAAACTGATGAATTCAAACACATTTTTGAGCAATAGAAAAATGTCTTGATAAGTGCATTGTATCAGAGTACTTTTAAGGAAACTGAAGTTTGAACATGTGAAAATAAATACACAATTTTTTATAAATAAATTCCAGTTCTTTTTGGATTCCCCTTATATGTGACTATAAATTTTTGAATAAATATTAACATAGTGTATTTATTCTAATAAATAGTGCAGCTGCAAGGTGAAAAAGTTATTGACTATAGTGATAAATGTGCTATCTATTGGAGGAAAATAAAATTTATGGTAACTGAAAAGTTTCACATTTTATTCAGTATTGTCACTCTTACTGTATGTTGAAATAAATGCGTGTGTGTTGCATTGTTGTTTAAATATTAATAATAGTGAAAATAGTTACTGAATTTGTTCCATTAATAGTTGCCCATGATATAAGATGCATTCCAATAATGCAGGTTTGCATACATAGATGCAGAGATATAAGATGTGACTTACATATATGCTTTTTAGATTATATACAAAGGCTTTTGACAGATGTCAACATGAAAAGATGATCCAGGCACTGCAGAGAATTGGCATTGATAAAGACATCAGAATCATCAGCAACCATACAGGTCAGGGTAGAAGGTCAACTGAGAGCAAATTCAGGGGTGTATGACGAGGCTGCGTATTATCTCCACATATACTATTATCTTCAACATACACTATGAAAATATTTTTTTCAGAAGCATTAGTTGATCTTGACATTGGCATCAAGATCAATGGAGAATATTTGAATAACATTGTTATGCTGATGATACAACAGTACTCTCCACAAATTTTAAAGACTTTCAGATGATGCTAGATCAAGTCAGAACTCAAGTGAAAATTATGGTTTAGATCTCAATATTAGAAAGATCAAATATATTGTAATAAGTCAGACATCAACTCATGGCAAGTTGATGGCTGGATCAAAAGAAATTGAAAGAGTAGAGAAATTTAATTACTTGGGAAGTGTCTTGAATGATAAGTGGGATCATGATATAGAGATCAGAGTGCAAATAGAAAAGACATGAAATGTTTTCATGAAAATGAGAAAATTGCTATGTCCAAGAAACCTAATCCTTGATATGAAAATTAGAAAAATCAGATGCTATGTGTTTCTGGTGCTATTGTATGGAGTTGAACTTTGGACCATATCCAAAACATCTGAAAAGATGATCAAAGCCTTTGAAATGTGAATTTTACCAAAGGCTTCTAAGAGTATTCTTGGTAGAACATAAGACCAATGTAGAAATATTGCGATGAATGGAAAAACAACAAGAATTGCTCAACACCATCAAACAAAAAGTTGGAATACTTTGGCCATGTGATGAGAAATGGTGTCAAGTACTGAATCCTACAACTCATTATACAAGGGAAAATCTCTGGTAAAAGAGGGCTAGGACAATGTTGAATCTCATGGCTGAGAAACCTGAAGGACTGGTGTAAAATGACTTCAGAAAACCATTCAGAAGAGCCAGCAATAGAAATACAATAGCTGTGATGACAGCTAACATCTGGAATGGATGGGGCACCAAAAGAATAATAGTTGCCCTCAAATAATCCAGTTCCAAATAATATAATCTAATTCCCAAAGAATAGAATTAATAGTTAATGTCAAACGATTTGCTGAATTATCTGGCTATTTTTGGGCTATGTTATTATGTTGGCTAGTTATTTTATAATAATAATAATAAATTTATTTGACATATAAATGAATACAGCATCAAAGGGGGAAAGATAAAACAAAAATTCTTTTAGCTCAAAATATCTAATTTCATTAACAACTTGTTAAATTTTAACAACTCCAAAAGTTTGAATAAGAATTACCAGACAACATTCTTATGTACTCCCTGTATATGTTATTTCCACATTTACAGAACATATGATAACACCAGTCACGATAACTACATAATTGATTACAAATTATAGACACCAAAGAACCATTTCTTGACATAACACAATTCATCCTCAACCTTGCTATTTGTTTTTAAACCACAATAGAGAGTCCACCATCCCTGACTAGTTGTTTTATTTATATATATGATGCCGAAATACAGTCGACCCTCTATAACACGGGTTCATATAGTTCGGATTCCTATATGACGGTGAAAAAATTGTGACAGTATTCATACAAACATNATTTTTATTTTATTTTTAAAATATTTTGTTGTAACCTCTGCATTTTTTTATGATTAAAGAAATGTTAAATTAACTAAAATTTTAAAGTATTGGAATATGATATAATAATTTTATAATCCCAATAATTTATTTTGCTAAGTACATAAATGTTTGAAATAATTTTCATTACTTATTTACATTTCCAATGTAATCTGATTTTAAAGAATGAAATATAAGTAATAAATAATTAAAAATTTTTGGAAACAGTTATATCTTAAGAACTTTTTTATGAGTATTATCGAGAGATGCAAGTTTATTATTATTTCTGTTCTGTATTTATTTTATATAAAATATTTTGAAACTGAAATTTATCCAATTGCTATGGATGTTCAATTTGTAAAGAATCATCTATTTGATTTGTTTTTCATGTTACTTAATTTTCTATTATTATAGAAGTTTTTTTCAGAGTTCAGATGATGAACACTGTTTCTTCATCTTTCTTCCACCCATTTTTTGATGTCTTTCACTTTGATGAGCTCACTGTCATTTCTTATCGTTTTTTCATTTTTCCATAAAAAATTGTTTTCAAAAGCTGTCTTAATGACCCATGAACAATCTGTCTTGCAAAAGTACTGTTTTTCTTTTTGTTATTCTCACTGTCAAACATCTTTTTGTTTTAAATTTTTTAAATACCTCTTTGTCACTCTGATTCTTCCCATCTTTCTAAAGTATCACATGTTAAAAACATTTAGTCTTATTTTCTTAGTTACTGTTCAGTATCCATTAATATGCTTTATTATTATTATTATTGTTGTGTTTAGTGGGTTATACTCGGTACACACCGGTGGCTGTGTACTATGCCGGACCAGAGTCAAGGCATAGCAACCNTTGTGAAAAGTTACTAGATAAATATAATATCAAATTATTGAATCATTAATTAATTAATTTGGTAATTGATATTAAACATAATATTTTGCAATCTATTGGTAAATTTAATGATTACATAATTTAGAAATATCTGGAAAAACAGTGTCCAAAATAGATTAAAAGATTTAAAACTCATAATATTTGTCTAATGCCTAAGTACATTGTCATGTCAATTATTCTATCTGAAATCTCATGTTTGGAAAGATGACTTCAATTGTCAACAGAACAGATAGCTCATAGAATTGCTGTTCAGATTTACAAATGAAAGTGTTTGAAACTTAGTATAGAATAACTTTAAATGGAAATTCAAATTTCTGTTCAGTAATTTGTCCTATAACAATCAATAGGACACAACACTGTTATAAAAAAAGGTTTTATGGATTGTTGTTATTGAAAATATGTTAATTTTATAAATTTTCATTTATACTTTGTACAAATAATTCAAATATATCAAAGAATTTGAATCTATTAAATAAAATGCAATTTTTCTGTGTACAATAATAGATAAAATGTTAATTGAGAGATGAGTTTTGATTGCTGTTGAAGATGAATGCTTGATTCAAGTTTCATATGTTGTGGCCATTATATAATGTTTTTCTATGGAGAATTATTAATGTGTCAGGAATATTCTTGGAAAAAAATCTAGAAATTAAAATTATATTAGAAAATCAAAAATTATCAAGAATATTCATGCATAAAGAGAAGAATTTTAGGATAATGAAAAGTAATGAAAGAATTTTTATTTGCCAGTTTTATAACAAAATTAACACTGTAACAATCTTAAATTTTTTATAAGCATTTGAAAATTTGCACATCATAAAAAAAAAATACTTGTGTCAAATTGATCATATATGATTGATTTCATATGGTGTGTTCAAACAGCAATTATGATTTTTCTAATTAAGTTTTTACAATAGGACTTTTTCCTTGAAAATAAACACTTTAAAGGTTCTCACAATATAAATATTTTCGTAATTGAGTTTGTTTATAATTAATTGTGATGTTAAAATGATGTCACAAATACACAAAAAATGAGCATTGATCACAGTACAAAAATGCCTTTTTTTTAATAAAAATTAGTCAATATGAGGGAGGACCAAAAAAAACTGGAATTCTCTTTTGTATGGTAGGCTCCTAGTACAAGCTTCTCATGCTAGGTAAATGTTCAATGAATCCATCTACATCAGTTTACCAGATGGCATTGTTGTGAGAGGTTGTGCTTTGCAACAGTGAACTTTTTTTAGATTTTTTCAGTGTGTTTTCTATCTGTTTCTTTGATGTGAGAAGGATTATGCATTTAGAATTTGTTCCTCCAAGTCAAATGATCAACCAGTGTTTTTATCAAGAAGTTTTGAGAAGGTTGCATCAAGATTTGCAGAACAATCTGGAGTTATGGCAAACAGCTGACTGGGTTTTCCGTTATGACAACAATTCTGCCCATACTGTTTTTGGCCAAAACTGGTCAAACATTCAGAGCAGTATGTTCTTCACCCTTCCTGTTCATCCAATCTTGTCCCATGTGACATTTTTTTTTGTTTTCACAGATGAAAAAGTCCTCAAAGGAAAAAAAAAAGATTTTCCAATATGGATGAGGTGAAACAAAAAAAATGGCAGAAACTAAAAGGCATCAAAACTGATGAATTCAAACACATTTTTGAGCAATAGAAAAATGTCTTGATAAGTGCATTGTATCAGAGTACTTTTAAGGAAACTGAAGTTTGAACATGTGAAAATAAATACACAATTTTTTATAAATAAATTCCAGTTCTTTTTGGATTCCCCTTATATGTGACTATAAATTTTTGAATAAATATTAACATAGTGTATTTATTCTAATAAATAGTGCAGCTGCAAGGTGAAAAAGTTATTGACTATAGTGATAAATGTGCTATCTATTGGAGGAAAATAAAATTTATGGTAACTGAAAAGTTTCACATTTTATTCAGTATTGTCACTCTTACTGTATGTTGAAATAAATGCGTGTGTGTTGCATTGTTGTTTAAATATTAATAATAGTGAAAATAGTTACTGAATTTGTTCCATTAATAGTTGCCCATGATATAAGATGCATTCCAATAATGCAGGTTTGCATACATAGATGCAGAGATATAAGATGTGACTTACATATATGCTTTTTAGATTATATACAAAGGCTTTTGACAGATGTCAACATGAAAAGATGATCCAGGCACTGCAGAGAATTGGCATTGATAAAGACATCAGAATCATCAGCAACCATACAGGTCAGGGTAGAAGGTCAACTGAGAGCAAATTCAGGGGTGTATGACGAGGCTGCGTATTATCTCCACATATACTATTATCTTCAACATACACTATGAAAATATTTTTTTCAGAAGCATTAGTTGATCTTGACATTGGCATCAAGATCAATGGAGAATATTTGAATAACATTGTTATGCTGATGATACAACAGTACTCTCCACAAATTTTAAAGACTTTCAGATGATGCTAGATCAAGTCAGAACTCAAGTGAAAATTATGGTTTAGATCTCAATATTAGAAAGATCAAATATATTGTAATAAGTCAGACATCAACTCATGGCAAGTTGATGGCTGGATCAAAAGAAATTGAAAGAGTAGAGAAATTTAATTACTTGGGAAGTGTCTTGAATGATAAGTGGGATCATGATATAGAGATCAGAGTGCAAATAGAAAAGACATGAAATGTTTTCATGAAAATGAGAAAATTGCTATGTCCAAGAAACCTAATCCTTGATATGAAAATTAGAAAAATCAGATGCTATGTGTTTCTGGTGCTATTGTATGGAGTTGAACTTTGGACCATATCCAAAACATCTGAAAAGATGATCAAAGCCTTTGAAATGTGAATTTTACCAAAGGCTTCTAAGAGTATTCTTGGTAGAACATAAGACCAATGTAGAAATATTGCGATGAATGGAAAAACAACAAGAATTGCTCAACACCATCAAACAAAAAGTTGGAATACTTTGGCCATGTGATGAGAAATGGTGTCAAGTACTGAATCCTACAACTCATTATACAAGGGAAAATCTCTGGTAAAAGAGGGCTAGGACAATGTTGAATCTCATGGCTGAGAAACCTGAAGGACTGGTGTAAAATGACTTCAGAAAACCATTCAGAAGAGCCAGCAATAGAAATACAATAGCTGTGATGACAGCTAACATCTGGAATGGATGGGGCACCAAAAGAATAATAGTTGCCCTCAAATAATCCAGTTCCAAATAATATAATCTAATTCCCAAAGAATAGAATTAATAGTTAATGTCAAACGATTTGCTGAATTATCTGGCTATTTTTGGGCTATGTTATTATGTTGGCTAGTTATTTTATAATAATAATAATAAATTTATTTGACGGGGGAAAGATAAAACAAAAATTCTTTTAGCTCAAAATATCTAATTTCATTAACAACTTGTTAAATTTTAACAACTCCAAAAGTTTGAATAAGAATTACCAGACAACATTCTTATGTACTCCCTGTATATGTTATTTCCACATTTACAGAACATATGATAACACCAGTCACGATAACTACATAATTGATTACAAATTATAGACACCAAAGAACCATTTCTTGACATAACACAATTCATCCTCAACCTTGCTATTTGTTTTTAAACCACAATAGAGAGTCCACCATCCCTGACTAGTTGTTTTATTTATATATATGATGCCGAAATACAGTCGACCCTCTATAACACGGGTTCATATAGTTCGGATTCCTATATGACGGTGAAAAAATTGTGACAGTATTCATGCAAACACGCTAAAAAAACTCGTATAATTCGGTAAAACATCGTCGCCGACTCATGTTGTGACAGGATTGGTCGAATCTAGACTAATAGCGGATATTGTACAAACCATTAAGTTTAAACGAGCAGTGGACCTACTAAAACCATTTATTATTTAATGTCCATAAAAATTATATTTATATTAAATGACGTCTCCAAAGTTCAGCGAATTTTTCACAGAAAAATAATTTATCAGGAAACGCGCCCACCATTTGATGCCCCGCTCCACGACAAAAACAAATTTAAGCAATGGTGTCGTCGAACGGTGCACACTCAGTAAGTAATCCTACAATTTTTTGTTTATAGCATAGTTTATATGGATTATTCCCAAAAAATTATACATATTTTGGAAATGTTGAGTCAAATTAGTCCAGAATTGGTTAATTTTATGGAAGAAAACCTTTCAAATAGCCGTAGTTCATAAACTGCATATGTGCCGGGCTGTGATTGGCTCATGTATTTAAGGACTCTTAGAACATCAATTTCATAAAGAACAGAACATATCTACCATGTTATAGGGGGGTTGACTGTAATAGTTACCCTCTAATAGTAATCACCCACTAATAAACAATCACAGTTGCAAACTGAAAAAGTTAATACAGACCACTATTACAATAAATAAGCATACAGTATACATGTTTGTAAATGATTACTATAACAAAAAAAAAATTCATTGTAGTTTTAATGATTTAAAAAAAATTCACTTAAGTGATATGAAGTGTATAAAATTGTGTGCATTCACATGTTTTACTGACTATATCCATCAGTCTTAATATAGGTATGATGGAAAGGCTTTAAGAGTATAGTCCTGCCAAGTTAAAGATTGTAAAAAAGTATCTCTTGTTTGAACTCAAACTCGATCATTTATTCATTTACCAACAATAAGCCAAACTTGCCTGAAACTGACTGTAGGAGTTTGTAAAACATTTCCATCTGATTGTAGTGATGTCAGATTGTATTTCAAGAGTTCATTGTTTCTTTTGATGTAAAAGGTGCATTGGCATTTTTCAACTGGATCCATGATTGATTTGACAAACTACTCCAGCTTGCTCAATGAAAAGGGTGAACTGTAAAATCTATATAAGTTTACTCATAAATGACTTGTGTTGCCCTATGAGAGTTTATACACTGAATCTGAATTTTCTGTAAATAAAGGGATGCTTACTGAGAACTAAACACAATTGTTAGTAGCTTTACTACATACAAGTAAATGATACTATTTAGAGTCAGGATGGAATTGCAAATCACCAGCTCCATGTTAACTAACTATTGAAATGCATCTCAAATAAAAGCTAGCTCTTGAAGAAAGAAAGAAAGAAAGAAAAAAAAAATGGAGAGAGAAAAGCAATCAGATGTTCAGCAAAATATGTAAAAAAACCAAATTGCAAATGAAATTTAAGCTGCAGAAGAAAACCTTTGGCAGACCAGTGGAACTTAGAAGAATTAAAAACCAAGTTAAAGCTATGAAAACTGAGAAATAAAATATGAAAAAATAAAACTATTTCATGCACTTTTATTTCCTATTTAACTTATTGTTGATAGCTATTTTGATATGCAGTATACATCAGGAAAAATTGTGGAAGTGATTAGAGAAATCAAAATTAAAAAATTTAAAATTGGTAGACATTCCAATTAGGTTTGTTTCATTCCATGTTTGAACTTGTTATGCAAAAAGCTTGATCAGAAATATAGCTGTGGCTGGTTGTTAGATATTTTCATATATGTATATTATTTGTTGTTATATTAATTTCCAGCTCCTTTATAATATTCACTTTAATCTTGTACGTACAGTGGAATCTTTTTGCATCATTTCTAGTACTTTGCTTTTCTGCATATATTGTCTGATTTGTTTGGTCCTGAAACTAGCCCCCTATAAATAACACTATTTTTTCTGCAGCACCATTGGTCCTCACAACTATCATTTTATTGTAAAGATCATTGAAAAATTATGGTTCTGATTCAAACTTTAAAAATGTGGGAAAATGTTAAACTATGACTTATCAGCTCAGGAGAACAAATGAATGGTAATCTTGAATGAGTTAAAAAAATTTGATGATGCTCATGTTGCCTGGATGCATGTGTGTTAAAAAATTGAGTTATCTACAGCCATAACATAACTCAACCCCCAAAACTCAAAATAACTAAAAAATAGTATAAGTAATTAAATATAACCATAAATAAAACTTTATCTTGCTAACTCACATGTTTAGTTTGTTTTAGTGTCTTTACCAAAGAGAGGTCCTGGAACCTTAATTACTACAAATAAATAAATATAAATATGCTTTGCAGTATAATTTTATAATAGTGAGTTAATAACTTTTTTAAAAAGTAAAAACTTGAAATTTGGCGATAGATCATCATCTCGTGAAAATCTATCATACTCCACTCTCCAAAAGTTTGAATAAGAATTACCAGACAACATTCTTATGTACTCCCTGTATATGTTATTTCCACATTTACAGAACATATGATAACACCAGTCNATCTTGCTAACTCACATGTTTAGTTTGTTTTAGTGTCTTTACCAAAGAGAGGTCCTGGAACCTTAATTACTACAAATAAATAAATATAAATATGCTTTGCAGTATAATTTTATAATAGTGAGTTAATAACTTTTTTAAAAAGTAAAAACTTGAAATTTGGTGATAATCATCAGTAATTTTGACTCGTGAAAATCTATCATA